AGGGATGAGGGCTAGATCTTCCAGGGGGCTGGGCCTGCCTGCTGTTCTCTGCCTTGAGATTTATCACATGTTGAGTGCCGAATGCCTTTGAGGTGTCAACCTTGACCTTGTAGTGAATTGAAACTTCAGGAAGCTTAAATGCTGTAGGGTTTTGTTAGATGATTCACATCTAACACTCCTTTAATCAGATTTTCTGAGATAACCGTGATGAGAGCCGAGGATATGTTTTTCCTGGGGTTGTGTCTCTCATCTCCGAAGAATGAGCTCCATGGACCTGGAGATTTAAGCAAAAGTGTCGAAAACTTATTACAAGCAGATTCAGACTCCTTGCAGGGGTCAGGGCCCAACAAGGGGCTGCCGTTAAAGCCTTGTAGTCCAGGGGTGTCCTAATATATTTGTTACAAGCCTGCTCAGTGTCTGTTGTCACCTGATTGATTCCCTCAATTGTTCTTGCCCAGCAACAGACCCGAACTCTCCCTGTTTCTGTGTGTTCGTACTCCTTATTGCTGCAGGCCGTCCCTTGGTTTCCCATGCCTCCCACTTTGAGTTCAGAAACGTTTTATGATTTCTGCTTGGTTGGTTCCTGTGATTAGGCTGCCAAACTGCCATGTCTGCCTCTGCCTATGTTCCACTTGCCTTTGTTTCCCACTGGACTTGCCCAGTCTGCCTGCATTTCAAGTTAAGCCTCTCGGCTGCTTTAAATAATTTGTTCATGAGTAACTTATTTTGGATTTATGGCATTGTGCTAAGCTCTGTGGGGAATATATGGCGTCTGGTTTTAAGATTTTAAAAAAATATATATTTTATTGATTTTTTACAGAGAGGAAGAGAGAGAGAGAGTTAGAAACATTGATGAGAGTCATCGATCAGCTGCCTCTTACACGCCCCCTACTGGGGATGTGCCCGCAACCAAGTACATGCCCTTGACCGGAATCGAACCCGGGACCCTTCAGTCCGCAGGCTGATGCTCTATCCACTGAGCCAAACCGGTTTGGCATGGTTTTAAGATTTTTATTCTCTATAGCTGTAATAAGGCAATTGTACATATTTTTAAGAGGAAAGGCTGAGAGTGTGTATTACAATAATGATAAGATTAGCTCTTCTTTATTTTTATTTATCTATTTATTTAAATATGGAACGCTTCATGAATTTGTGTGTCATCCTTGCGCAGGGGCCATACTAATCTTCTCTGTATCGTTCCAATTTTAGTATATGTGCTGCAGAAGCGAGCACTAGCTTTTCTTTATTGATTACTTAATATTTGCTGCTGCACTGATCACTTTATATACTATCTTATTTTTATTTATTTATTTTTTTTCACATGAGGATATTTTTCCATTGATTTTTATAGAGAGTGGAAGGGAGGGGAAGAAAGAGAGAGAGGAAAACATTGATATGTGAGAGAGCCCCAGCCAGGGCAGGTGATGGAGCCTGCAACTGAGGTACATGCCCTTGACCTGGTCCATAGGCCTACACTCTATCCACTGAGTCAAACAAGCTAGGGCGAGATACTATTTTCTTTATTTTTATTTTATTTTTACTTCCCAAAGTCTATTTTATTAAATTATTATCTCTGTACATATTTTAACATTACCCCCCATTCCCATACATACCCTCCCTCCCCAGAGTTTTGTGTCCATTGGTTGTACTTATATGCATGTATACAAGTCGTTCGGTTGATCTATTATCTCCTCCAGATCTCCCTACCCTCCCCGCTGTAATTTGACAGTCTGCTTGTTGCTTTACTGTCTATCTTTTGGTTCATCAGTTTATAATGTTCTTTATTCATAAATGAGTGAGGTCATGTGGTGTTTCTCTTTCATTGACTGGCTTATTTCACTCAGCATGAGGTTCTCCAATTCCATCCAGGTTGCTGCAAATGATGAGAATTCCTTTTTTATGGCAGCGTAGTATTCCATTGTGTAGATGTCCCATAGTTTTTGGATCCAATTATCTGCTGACTGGCACCTAGGCTGTTTACATATCCTAGCTATTGTAAATTGTGCTGCTATGAACATAGGGGGTGCATATATCCTTTCTCATCGGTGTTTCTAGTTTCTTGGGATATATTCCTAGGAGTGGGATTACTGGGTCAAATGGGAGTTCCATTTTCAGTTTTTTGAGGAAACTCCACACTGTTCTCCACAGTGGTTGCACAAGTCTGCATTCCCACCAGCAATGCATGATAGCTCCTTTTTCTCCACAACCTCGCCAACACTTGTCGTTTGTTGATTTGTTGATGTTGGCCATTCTGATAGGTGTGAGGTGGTACCGCATTGTTGTTTTGATTTGCATCTCTTGGATAATTAGTGACTTTGAGCATGTTTTCATGTGCCTTTTGGCTTTCCTTCTGTCTTCTTATGAAAATATTCTATTTAGGTCCATTGCCCATTTTTCAATTGGATCATTCATCTTCCTTTTATTTAGTTGTATAAGGTGTCCATAGATGTTGGAGATTAAACCTTTATCAGTGATAACATTTGCAAATATGTTCTCCCATACAGTGTGCTTTCTTGTTGTTTTGTTGATGGTTTCTTTTGCTGTGAAAAAGCTTTTTATTTTGATGTAGTCCCATTTGTTTATTTTCTCTTTAGGTTCCATTGTCCTAGGGGCAGTATCAGTGAAGAAGTTCTTTTGGCATCTGTCTGAGATTTTGCTGCCTATGAATGCCTCTAGTATTTTTATGGTTTCTCGTCTTATGTTTAAGTCCTGGAGATACTATTTTCTTTAAATCCTATGACTATCCCGTGAGAAAGGTACTATTTTTCTAACTTCTCAGAGAGCCCAAGGACATGTGTGTAATAAGGGGTGGAGTTAACGGGGCAGGTAGAATGGACCTTCAGAGAGGGAGAGACAGCTCCTGGTTTCTGTGGTGGGAGAAAAAGATCAAGGGTATCTTTTTAATTTTTTCTAAATATTTTTATTGATTTCAGAGAGAAAGGGAGAGGAAGAGAGAGACAGAGACATCCATGAAGGGAGAGAATCATTGATAGGCTGCCTCCTGCATGCTCCCTGCAGGGATCGAGCATGCAGCCGGGCTTGAGTCCTCACTGGGAGTTGAACTGTGACCTGGTTCATAGTCAACACTCAACCATTAAGCCACACCGGCTGGGCTTTCATATAGAATCTGTATTATAGATCAAGGGCATCTTTATGAAGAAGGGGTGTTTGAATTGGGACCAGAAGAGTGGATAGGATTTTGAAAGATGGAACCTTAGAGCTTTAATGAAGAAAAAGGTGAGGAGTATATGGATATTGATAATCGATTCCTTTGCTTTCCTTTGTCACCTTTTTCACTTAGAATGGAAACGTGGGTGGGAAGATAGGTGAACATGTGCTTTGAGTCTCACTGTTGATCTGGGGAGACATGACTTGCACATGACATGAATGTGCCTGCAGTCAGGCAAAGGCAAACTAGTCAGCCGCTGAGTCTTGAGTAGTCAGGAGGGAGGAGAATTACCGTATTTTTCGGACCATAAGACGCACTTTTTTCCCCCCAGAAGTGGGGGGAAAAAGTCCCTGCGTCTTATGGTCCAAATATAGCCTACACATATACTTTAAAAAAAAGTTTTTTTACTTGCCCGGCTCTGTGTGGTCTCTGTGTGCTTGCCCGGTTCTAAAATGGTTCTAAAGGCTGCTGTTTACTTTACAGGGTTGATTACATGTGTTTATGACTGTGATGTTGGGTTTTAATGCACATAAAATATTTTAGGACACTATGTTTCAGAATCTTTTTTTCTTCATTTCCCTTCTCTAAAAACTGGTGCGTCTTATGGTCCGGAGCGTCTTATGGTCCGAAAAATACGGTAGTAGGGGCTGTAACAGTAGGGGAGGAGGTTTTAGGGAGGAGATGGAAATTGAGATGGTTTTAGAACATCCGAATACATCAGAAATCGGATCCTGAGAATGTCTGTTTTCAGGGTTGAAAAGAGCTGCTCCGCCGGGACCAGTAGGTGTCGTTGGAGAAGGTGGTTGGCCTTGGTGGGCCGGACAGTGGGGGAACGGGGGTGTTAGGAAGATAGACAGTCTTCAGCGACTCCTTGTGTGAGAGAATGTGACATGTGACCTGGTTCAATCAGGGGATGGGGACACGTGGGTGGGTATCCTTGGGCTGCAGCACAGGTTTTCTTGAGGGAGGAGAGGAGGAAGCTGCTACCACCAGCACCAGGAAGGATGCATACAAACCCGTGTTCCAGGAAGGGTGGGAATTGCCCCTCCCTCAGTGGACTGTGGTCTCATGTCAGGCTTCTGATAGTGCCCCCGCTCCAAGTATATCTTGCCCCTGGTTCTGCCCTGATGCTCTTCACAGCTTAGTGTCCTCAGATTTCACCCAAGTATGAGTATTTGGGTGGGGAGCCCTAGTATGATTGGACCTGGGTCCCTGGGAACGTGTGTAGCAGCGGAGAGGGACAGCATCATGAGGAGTGAAGGCGAGATGTCCTTAGGTCAGATTGACAAGCTGCCAACACATGGAGAAGCTCCTTACATCGATTGGTCAGGAAGGACTTGAGTAAGCCGAGGCTTAGATTTAAGAGTGTTGCTTTTGAGATGGTGAGATGACCAAGTGGAGCCACCTAGAGCCTCAGTATATTCTGTCCTCCAGTCACAAAGCTAAGGAACTTACAAGTAGCCTCAGGTGCTGGCCCTGCCACCCTCATGGCAAGGCCATAGCAGGGAGTCCTGCCTGAGGAGGGCGTGCAGAAGGCCCATGTAGGCCGCTCCCGTACTGGCAGTGGGGCCCCTTTCAGGGCTATAGCCTGTCAGCCAGTGTGCTTGTTCATTCAGCCAGCACGTGCTCACTGAGGCCAGGCCGTGTGCCAGCCGCTCTGCCTGTGGCGGGTGCAGCACAGGGACGGGCCTGCTTGCGGCTGTCACCCGCAGGTCGGATCCCTTAGAGATGTGATGTCATAGCTTTTGGCTGTCATATTAATTTTAGGGAAAGAGGTGTATGTTTGTTTTTATTATGCTTTCTGTACTTTTATCTTTTATTTACTTGACAGATAAAGCCACAGACCCAAGCATGCCAGAACAGGATTGGTCAGCTATCCAGAATTTCTGTGACCAGGTGAACACTGATCCCAATGGGTAAGGTGACCCTCACACTGGACCACAGGGGTCCTTGGAATAAGTGCATGCCGTTTGTCTTGGGACTGTTTTAATAGCTAGCCTTTCTTTCTTTTCCCCCCTCCACAATCTACTGAGAACATCATTCTTTTTTAGAGATAGCAAATTCAAATTCATGTGGTTTTTCAAAAAACAAACAAATGAATAGTCAGTCTGTAACTGGCAATTATTTTTAAAATAGCATTATGAAGTAGTCATACTCAGGAGACCTGAATGTTACGTACAGGTAAAAGGTAGCAGCATGAAAGAGCTCATGTGCTCTCCATAATTTTAATGTAACCTTTCTTTAGAAGAGGCAAGAAAAGGGCAAGATTGTGTTGAATTTTTTCCCCCAAAGTATCTGGACAGGAACTGAAGAATTCAGATGTTTATTCTACATACTAGAGGCCTGGTGCATGAAATTTGTGCAATGGGGAGAAATTCCCTCAGCTCAGCCTGCACCCTATTCCAATCTGGGACCCCTTGAGGGATGTCTGACCGTCTGTTTGGGCCCGATCCCGGTGGTTGGACATGCCTCTCACAATCTTAAGACTGCTGGTTCCCAACTTCTCGCCTGCCTCTGCCTTATTGCCCCTAACCACTTATGCCTGCCAGCCTGATCACCCCTAATCACTCTCCTGCCTGCCTGATCGATGCCTAACTGCTCCCCTGCTGGCCTGGTCACCCCTAACTGCCCTCCCTGCTTGCCTGATTGCCCACAACTGCCCTCTCCTGTAGGCCTGGGTTCCCCCCAACTGCCCTCCCTTGCTGGCCTGGTCTCCCTCAACTGCCCTCCTCTGGTGGCCTGGTCACCCCTAACTGCCCACAACTGCCCTCCCCTGCAGGCCATCTTGTGGTGGCCATCTTGTGTCCACATGGGGGCAGCCATCTTTTGTCTTGGAATGATAGTTAATTTGCATATTACTCTTTTATTAGATAGGATTGCTGACTATTCAGCATTTGGAAATGGGCTGAAAGTTTGATCGCACTGTCTACTCTAGTGTTTATCGGACAACAAATAAGGTCCATGTTGCTCATGACCTGGCTACCCGTAGGCCTGGTCCTGACTGCTCTGTTTGGAGCTTTAGGGTGCATAAGTTGGGGAGGGTGCTGTGTCTGGACAGTAGTAGTTGCGGGAAGGGTGGGTGGGGTTGGCCTCCTTCAGAGGCTTGTGCATGGGTTGTGTGCCAGTTACATTCCACCTCTGCTGTGGGACCAAACTCTTGGAGGGGAGGAGACTCCATGGAGTGCACTGAGCCAGACTGTCCGCCCAGAGCCCAGGTGTCTTTGTTTTCTCTTAGCCCAACCCATGCGCCCTGGCTGCTGGCCCATAAGATCCAGTCTCCACAAGAGAAAGAAGCTCTTTATGCCTTAACGGTAAGCGTGGCCCTTCGCCTCGGTTTTCCTGTCCTGGGCCAGAGGGAGCTGGGCCCCAGGCCCATTTCAGCGTGTGGAGAGCCTGAGAGGTTCCCCTTCGCTGGCCACAGAGGCTGGGCTCTGGTAGCCGTCCTAGGTCTGCTTCTGGAGAGCAGCGCCGAGCCTGCTTTGGGAGAAGGAAAGAAAGGTTTTATTTCCTTAGCTCTTCATAGACCAGGGCTGGTAAGTTAAGTGCCCACAGGCCAAACTGTGACGTAGTGAGTGAGCCACTGGGTGAGGACCAAAATCCTGGAGAGCGCTTGCCCAGCCAGGGAAGCGTGGCTGCAGTGCGGCACTGGCTGGTATTGCCAGCCATGAGTTTGGGCCCATTGTTGCTAGCATTTCTTGTTTTTAAAGAGAAACCATAAGTCCAGATTTTTGTATGAATTCTCTGAATTAAAAAAAAATATATATATATATATATATTTTATTGATTTTTTTCTAGAGAGAGGAAGGGAGAGGGATAGAGAGAGAGAATCATGGATGAGAGAGAAACATCATCAATCAGCTGCCTCCTGCACATCTGTGGGGATTGAACCCGGGCATGTGCACCGACCAGGAATCAAACCAGTGGCCTCTTGCTTCCTGGCTTGATGTTCAACTGCGGAGTTATACCAGCTGGGCATGAATCCTCTGAATTTTTTTATGTTGGTGACTAACCTGAAATGTTAAACAAGAGTGTGGACCAAAGAAAATGTGTGTAGGCCCCACTTGCATGCCAGCAGGGGACATGTGGCTTAGCAATTCATGGGCCTTACATACCGGCTATGGCCTCTGAGTGGGAGGGAGTCACCTGCCCAAAGGATCTCCTTAAAAGGTGGGTGACTTCAGGATATACACCCCACTGAACTGTTTGCTGGGCACAAACCTGTTAGATATAAGATACAGCAAGACCAAATAGGTGCTTTTTAACAAAAATCTGAAAATGTTACCCTTTTTCCCAAACTCCAGTGTCCTCACAGTCCCAAGTCAAAAGTAGCCCTGGTTCCAGCAAGTGCTCATCAGGTTTCAGGCAAGCCTGGAGCCAGTGGTTTTCCTGTTCTCGTGGAGTCCCGTGTCTGTGCAGGTGCTGGAGACATGCATGAACCACTGCGGAGAGAAGTTCCATGGCGAGGTGGCCAAGTTCCGCTTCCTGAATGAGCTGATCAAAGTGCTGTCCCCAAAGGTGAGTACCATGGTCTTGGCCCTGCCTACTGCACCTGGCCCAGCCTTCAAACTCTTGCCCCTTCCTGTGTACAGAGGCAGGCCTGCTCCTGGACAGTCCCTACAGCCTGTCTCAGGTTTGTGAGGGAGCTGAGAGAGGAGGCCCTAGATGGGAAAGCTTTCTTCTCCAAGGTCTAGGATGACCTTGCTGATCCCTGCCCTCCATTGTTTATTCTCCCTTTAAAAAATGGCCTTTTGGCCCAGCCTCAGTAGCTCAGTTGCTTGAGTGTTATGTGCTCTGAAAGGTTGCCAGTCTGATTCTTGATCAGGACACATACTTAGGTTGCAGGTTTGGTCTAGGTCAAGGAAGGCAACCAATCAATGTTTCTCTCTCTCTCTTCCTCTTCTTTCTTAAATCAACAAAAATCCTATATAATAAAGGGCTAATATGCAAATCAACCGAACAGTGGAATGATGTGAACTATGACACACACTGACCACCAGGGGCAGACACTAAATGCAGGAACTGCCTCCTGGTGGTCACTGCTCAGCCAGAAGCTGGGCTCATGGCTCATGAGCACAGCAGCTGTGGTGGGAGCTTCTTGTATCTCTGCAGCAGCGCTAACACTATCTGACTACTGGCTCTGGCCCCCTCCTTGCGGGCTCCTGGACTGTGAGAGATTGCAGGCCAGACTGAGGGACCCCCGCTCCCCAAATTTTGTGCACCAGGCCTCTCGTATCCTATCTAATAAAGCTGTAATATGCAAATTGACCCTCACGGCATCACACAAGATGGCCTGCAGGGGAGGGTAGTTGTGGGCTATCAGGCCAGCAGGGAAGGGCAGTTAGGGGTGACCAGGCTGGCAAGGAGGGCAGTTAAGGGTTATCAGGCCAGCAGGTGAGGGCAGTTGGGGGCGATTGGGCCAGCAGGGGAGCAGTTAGGCATTGATCTGGCTGGCAGGGGAGTGATTAAGGGGTGATCAGGCTGGCAGGCAGAAGCAGTTAGGGGCAATCAGGCAGGCAGGCAGGCAGGTTGGGAGCCAGCAGTCTTGGCTGGTGAGAAAGATATCCGACTGCCCTGAGGGATCCCAGATTGGAAAAGAGTGCAGGCTGAGCTGAGGGACATGCCCCTCCCCTCAGTGCACAAATTTCATGTACTGGGCCTCTAGATAGAGAGTGTGTGTGTGTGTGTCCCCAATGGGCTTGTGGATGGGAAGCCTAGATGGGGAGAGGAATTCTAGCGTGGAGCACAGGCTTCCTGATAGACAGCAGGAGATGCTAGATGTGGCCCTAACCGGTTTGGCTCAGTAGATAGAGCATTGGCCTGCGCACTGAAGGGTCCCAGGTTCGATTCTAGTCAAGGGCATGTACCTTGGTTGCCGGCACATCCCCAGTAGGGAGTGTGCAGGAGGCAGCTGATCGATGTTTCTCATTGATGTTTCTAACTCTCTATCCCTCTTCCTTCCTCTCTGTAAAAAAATCAATAAAATATATATTTTTTAAAAAGTAAAACTAACTTTAACATTTAAAAAAAAAAAAAGCTAGCTAGTTTCATACCACTTCTTGCCTTTCCCCTGGTACCTGTTTAAGCTCTACAAGCTCTGCATTCTCAGGTAATAGACACAGATGGAGCCTTTCTTTGCTGCTTCCCGCAACACTTCTCTGATATTAACTGTTTGTCCTACCATTTAATTCAGTTCAGTTCTTCTTCTTCTTTTTTATAAGGATGTTTGTTGTAGGACAACATTTTTTTTAAATATATTTATTGATTTTTTTACAGAGAGGAAGGGAGAGGGATAGAGAATTTGAAACATCGATGAGAGAGGAACTTTGATCAGCTGCCTCCTGCACACCTGCTCCTGGAGATGTGCCTGCAACCAAGGTACATGCCCTTGACCGGAATTGAACCTGGGACCCTTTAGTCTGCAGGCTGACGCTCTATCACTGAGCCAAACCAGTTAGGGCTCATTTTATTATTTATTTTTTTAAAAATATATCTTATTGATTTTTTTTACAGAGAGGAAGAGAGACTAGAGAGAGTTAGAAACATCAGAGAGATACATTGATCAGTTGCCTCCTGCACACCCCCTACTGAGGATGTGCCCACAACCAAGGTACATGCCCCCGACCGGAATCGAACCCGGGATCTTTCAGTCCGCAGGCCGACTCTCCATCCACTGAGCCAAACCCGTTTTGGCTAGGGCTCATTTTAGTTCTTACACTACCCAGAGTTAGTGCAGAGCCTACCTGATCAGGACTTCTTGATACCTAGGTGATGCCTAATTTAGACACCAGCCATGAGTGTCTGTTCCTCTGCCTGACTAACTACAGAGTTGGGGTTCCCAGACCACCTCCACGAGGTTCCATATTCCCTACAGGAAGCACTGTACTTACTGTGGTTATAATGGACACAAATGGAGGGGATACATGGCCAAGGTCTTGGGGGGAGAGGAGCAAGAGCTTGTGTGCCTTTCTTCATGGCGCCTAGCCACCACCCTCCAGCACATCCATGTGTTCAGTCAGGAAGGTTGGTGGGCCTTGTTTCAGCTTTACCCAGATTTTCTTTTTCTTTTTTAAAATATATTTTATTGATATTTTACAGAGAGGAGGAAGGGAGAGAGATAGAGAGCTAGAAACATCCATGAGAGAGAAACATCGACTAGCTGCCTCTTGCACACCACCTACCGGGGATATGCCCGCAACCGAGGTACATGCCCTTGACCAGAATCGAACCTGGGACCATTCAGTCCGCAGACCGACGCTCTACCACTGAGCCAAACCGGTTTCGGCATTACCCAGATTTTCGTATGAAGGCGTAATGGATTAAATTACTGGCCGAGTAATTGGTCTCGGTCTCCAGTCCCACTCCCCTATTGGTTCCAGCTCTCTGTTCACATGGTTGGTCTTGTGGCATAGTCAGTCCCTCTAGAAATGATTTCCCACCCTGAGATTAGCTTAAACTCTCGTCTGGTCCAATAGGGCTTGTAGTAACAAAGATTTCTATCACTCAAAAACTTCCAAGGATTCTTGAAACTCTGTGCCAGAACTGGAGACAAAGACCAAACATATTCTGTACTATTCCACACCTGCCCCAGTCAAACAATGAGTGTCCCGGTGGCTCTAACCTAGGCCAATATACGATGGGTTTAATTTTAGCTCCTTGTCCCAGGTGATGTGACTTCTGGCTGAGTTTCCGCTCTCAACCTGGGGCAGTTCTCCTCTCCACTGTCAGCAGCATCTCTGCCAGCTCTGTAATTCTCCTTCCTGATTGCTTTCAGTACCTAGGGTCCTGGACCACAGAAAAAGTTAAAGGAAGAGTCATCGAAATACTCTATAGCTGGACAGTCTGGTTTCCAGAAGACATTAAGATCCGAGATGCTTATCAGATGCTGAAGAAACAAGGTCTGATTTCCATTATTTGCGCTGTGTTCCCTTTTTCACAATACTTGTTCCTTTTTTCTGTTTTGTGTGGTTGGTGTTTTTTTGGTGAAAATTGGACAGTAGAGACTGAGACAAGTAATTTTCAATGTCTAGCTGTGGAGCTAGCTGGGTTGAAATTGTTGTTGCTGGGGTTGTCCTCACTGTACCTGACTTCAGGTTCCTTCAGGGTTAGCTTGTGTTGAAGGTATGGGCAGATTTGCTATTGAATTTTTCTCAATGTCTGCTCCTCTGAGCTTGAGGTCTTCTGCAGTACCTCAGAGACGGTCTTGCGCCCTTGTCTTTCCCGGCAGCAGGTAGACCATTGTTGCTTGTTAGTGTTGTTATTATCTCTGCTCTGACTAGGCCTCAGTCTGAGGCAGGCACTGTGTCCCTGGTCTCCAGAGGTAGACACCCAGACACCGACGCCCGGGGAGGAAGACAGTCTGTTCCCCCCGAGCTTCTGTATTCTCTTTGTGAGTTTGTATGCTGTGTCCTGTGTGGTGCTGGGAATTCACGCTCCCTTCCCCTGGGCTCCGTAGAGGAAGGACCTGGGTTCATGATGGACTGTTTTCCATCACATGCATGCAATGATTTTAGGAGTGTCAGGGATCCTGCTGCAGTTTTTGGGCCCTGGGAGGTATGTACCTGCATAAAATGATCGGTATTTTTATAGCATAGAATCTGTCGGCTGCTAACCATAGGCTCTGGTTCTGCTGTGACTTAATCAGCCCTGATGTCTTGGTGCTAGTTCCTTCAATTCTCTGGAGGGAGGATGCAGAGTGTACCCTGGATGTATCTTTTAAGGCCCTTAACAGCTGGGCATCAGGAATCCAGGTTTATATGGGATCCTGATTAAGTCAGTGGGTACCCGTATCAGTATCTTCACTTCATGAATTGCATGTTTCAGGAATCATAAAGCAAGACCCTAAACTACCAGTGGATAAAATCTTGCCCCCACCTTCTCCCTGGCCCAGGAACTCCATCTTTGATGCCGATGAAGAAAAGTCAAAGGTAAGGAGCTCTTCCCTGACCTTGGTGGCCTACCTGGAATCTGATCAGACCCCTTCTTGTGGGGACTCCCTTCAGATGTTCCCTGGAATGTCTTCTGAGCCCCGAACCAAAGTATGGGAGAACATGATAATGGGTTTAGTGAGTTCTCTCTAGAGCAGGTTTTTACGAGTGAGATAGCATAAGGGTTGGGTGTTTTCTGTGGTGCCGATGGTCAGTCATATGGAAATAACCCGTTGTATGTTGGCTTAGGTATTTTTAGTGCAGTAAGCCTGATCCTACCCATCTTCCTCCCCCCCTTTTTGTTTTTTTAACTTGTGTACATTTTAATGAACTTCCTTCCATGTACACAGGCCCCCCCACACCCTTCATCTTCTCAGCTCTTCTGCTGAAGAACTTGGCCTTCACAATGACAGGCTGCTTTGGAGCTTTCCCTTCCCCAGAACTTTGTAGTAGGCCTATCGCACCACCTCAGTGATAGGAGCAGCTCCAGTCTTGCTCTTGACAGCATTTACCCGTGTCTGCTCACTGACCAGGGTCTACAATTGACAATTGGGCAGAAGCTCTGGTTTCTCTTTAAGTGGTCATGTCTCATACCCACTTTCCTGAAGTAGCCTGGGTGATATTTGTCGAAGTTGATCCTATGACGATGCAAGCCACCCTGTGCTTCCTGTGCTTGCTGATGCGGCCGTGGCCGTGGCTCATGTGGCCCCAAAGTTTCCGGGTCTTCTTCAGTCTGGATGGCATGTTGGTGGACAAGACTCAAAAGACCCACCCATTTTTCTTCTACTGCCTTCAAGAATCTTCAGACATCAGTAAGGGGAAGAACGTGGTCAAAACCCAGGCAGAGACCCTGAGTTACCTTAGACCAGTGGTTCCCAATGTGGGGCACATGCCCACAGGGGGGCAATTTGATTTGTAAGGGGGCAATTTGAGAATGAGTCATTAACAGTGAAATTTTGCACGTATGGTTCCAGGGAGCTTCATATACAGTATATAAATTCATATTGTGACACATTTATGCATAGTTTTCTATTATATATTTTGAAACTTTATTTGCTATTTTTTTCATATCACTTCATATATATATATATATATTTTTAACAATTTCTTAGTGATTTCTTCCTCAGTACTCCCAAATGTCCTTTTATTTTATTCTTCTCTTTCATGGGTGCCATGTTCTTTGGAAGCTTGTTTAGACCAAGATAATGGCCATTTAGGCCCCTCCACCTGAATATGAGTTCACTTATTGAATAACAAGAATTATATGTCATGGGTGGGGGCATCAGGATTTTAGAGATGCCTAGGAGGGACCTGTGACAGGAGGGACCAAAAACAGGTTGGGAACCAGTGCCCTAGAGCATCAGTGGTGGCAGAGCTTTGGGTTGTTCCTGATCTTGGTCCCTCACAGGTCTGGTAAGTGCAGTACCAGGAGAGCGCCAGGCCATATGTGTGTCTCTGGTACCCACGGCCTTCCAGCTGTGCCTTCCTTCCCTGGACCAGGTCCTCAGTGGCATGGCATCCTGGAGGCAGACGAGCAGGGCTGCTCTGTGCTCCCTGTCTCCTCTCTGCTGGTGTCTAACATTGCAGAGAGTGGAAGGAGCAAGGGAGGAGTTAGGGCTTGGACTTTTGAGAAAGAAACCTGAGAGAGCTGCTTACACTCTGGACTCAGTATCCTCATCTTTTCTGCCCTCCATCCAGCAAAGATTGAGTGACTCCTATGTGCCAGGTGTTCTGCTGGGCATTGGGAATAAAGCATACACGATCGCCAAGGGCTGTCGCCTCATAGAGTCCACTAGATCCAGGAGCATCCCCAGTTGTGACAACCAGAGTGTCTCCTGACTTTCAAGTGTCTCCTGAGGGCTATCCTCCTGCACCCTACCCACTGAGACAGTGGTAGTACTTACATGGTTGCATGATTGCTCAGATTTGCTCAGATAATGCATGTGAAATGTAAAGCTCCTATTAGGGTTAGCTCTTCTATTGCTTGATGCCATACCCTGGCCATTTGACACCATGGGGAATAGTTCAACCTACTCTTCTTGTTCACCTGCAGCTTCTGACAAGGCTTCTGAAGAGCAGCCACCCTGAGGATCTGCAGGCTGCAAATCGGCTGATCAAGAGTTTGGTCAAGGAGGTGGGCGTTTTCCCACCGCATTCTGCAGAACCAGCCTTGGACAGGGCTGCACCGTGTGTGTGTGTGTGTGTGTGTGTGTGTGTGTGTGTGTGTGTGTGCGCGTGCGCGCGCGCGCTTTCTGGGGTAGGGAGTACCTCACTCTGAGCTGGGGAACAGCCATGGGCTCCCCACGGTCCCAGGTGGTGACTGGAAACGGGCCATGCTATGTGCTTTCCAAGGACTTCCGTCCAGGAGTGCAAAGTGTCTCACAGACACCAGTTTCTGTCCCGGTGGCAGTATAGTGTGGACAGATCCCGTCTGAGAATCTGTTTTTCAGAGAGTGAAGGCTGGTGGTACAAAGTAGTGGCTCACCAGGCTCCTGGCTGCATTGTCTTCCCCAGGAATCCTGGGCAAGCACTCCCTCCATCCGTTTGTGACTTGCCTGAGCTCTCCCCTGTGCAATGCCCCTTCCCACCCCCTGTTCAGCTTCCAGGCCTTCAGCTTCCTCACTGCCATCCTCTCTCCCAAAGGAGCAAGAGAAATCTGAGAAGGTATCCAGGAGAGTCAGTGCCGTGGAGGAAGTGCGGAGCCACGTGAAGGTGCTGCAGGAAATGCTGAGCAGGTATCGCCGGCCGGGGCAGGCTCCGCCAGACCAGGAGGCCCTGCAGGTACTCGTCTCTAATCGCCAAGAAATGAAGGAAGGAAATCATTCAGGAGAAGCTAAATGTAACTGACGTGCTAGAAACTGCACCTCTTTCCAGTGTATCTGCTGCATGTTGATGTGTCCACCTGTGCAGCCATCGTTAAGATCAAGAATTCTTTTTTATTTTCTCATCTGACAGTATGTTTTCATTGATTCTTTTAGAGAGAGAGAAACAGCAATTGATTGCCTCCTGCATGTACCCTTACCAGGGATCAAACCCATAACCGAGGCATGTGCCCTGACTGGGAATCGAACCCACAACCGGTTGATACATAGGACATCACTACAACCAGTTGAGCCACCCAGCTAGGGCACAATGAAGAATTCTTTATAGATTCTGGATGTGCTCTGTGGGTTGTCTTTTAACTGTCTTGACTGTCTTTTGAAGCAAAAAGTTTTTAATTTTTTTAAAGATTTAAAAAAATTGCTTTTTAGAGAGAGAGGAAGGGAAAGAGAAACATTGATCGACTGCCTCCTGCATGCCTCCTACCAGGGATGGAGCTGGCAACCCAGACATGTGCCCTGACCAGGGATGGAACTGGCAGCAACCTTTCAGTGCACAGGACAACACCCAGCCAACTGAGCCATGTTGGCCAAGGCACAGGTTTTCATTTTGAAGTTCAGTTTGTCCCTTCTTTTCTTTAATTGATGATGCTCTGGTGTCGCAGCTAAGACACACCACCACTTGGTGTAGCCAGGCAGGGGATGGTGGGAATGTCTGAGTCAGCCATTCTTACTTAGTCTTTCTGCTTCCCTCACAGGCTACATCCATCACTTTCTGCATTCTGGCTTTTTATACTTCTCTGCATAGGGGAGACCCTTCACAAAGTTTATCCGCCCTTCCATTTCACAAAGCTAGCAGAAACAAATTAGGCCTTTCCTATACCAAATTCCTGAGAGAAAAATCTATTTGGCCAGTGTGGCTCATGTGTCTGCCTGGGCCAATCAGCTGTGACTGGGGTTGGGCAGAGTTATAGAGAAAAATGTGCTGGTCTCCACTGTGGCTGGAGGGGACTGGACTCAGAAGGGTTGGGGGCTTGAGCCAGGCAGACACTCCAAAGCCAATCTCCATGGTGAGGTGGTGTGACGGGCTGGCCCTGTCCCTTTCACGTATCAGGCGACCTCTGGGTTTTTGACTTGCGCAGGAACAAATTCAAGACACGAATCCAGGTGAAGCGAAAGTTTATTAAAGATTAGGACAGTCAGGCAAAGGAAGGGCCCTTAGAGACAGGTTCAGAGGTTAGCCTGGGATGAGCTGCTGCTGACCACTGCTCCCTGGTTGCAAATTTTGTGGGGACCCTTGGAGCTTAGGGTAAAGAAAGCAGAAGCACACACCTAAGGAAAGAGGTACCGGCGTGCTCAAACAAGAGTGCAAGCTAGTGTTCTTTGTCTGGAGGTGTGTCTGTTTTCTATAGGTGTGAGTTAAAGGGGAGGGCCAGGAGAACGCTCATTGGATTTCCAGATATGACCGTTAGTATGCTGATGTATTAAAATGAGCATATAATGGAGTCTTGGGCCACTTTCCTGGTCCGTTTTTTCTCCATCTTGCATTAGTCTGAATCTAACTGGTCCCTGACTATGGTGATTTAAACCACCTGCTCTTAGGTCTCTTTGTTTGGGAAGACAGGATCTTGTCATTTATCAGCTGGGTGTTAATTGCGCAGTCCTGCTGGCTGATGGTTCAGCCATTTGTCTCAGTTTCCTCATTGCACTTGCGAGGGAATTTTCCTAGTTTTTACTAACCTGCCCCAGCCATACCAGAGTTCCTCAGGAGGGTTGGGCTTTTAAGTAGGACAGTTTTGCCCTGGCCGGTGTGGCTTGGTGGAATGTCCATCATCCCTTGTATCAAAAGGTCAGAGGTTTTAGTCCCCCATCAGGCACATGCCCAGGATTTGGGTTCCATCCCCAGTTGGGGTGTGCAAGTAGCAGACAAATTGATGTTTCTCTATTTCTCCCTCTTCTTTCCCCTCTTGCTCTCAAATCAATAAAAACATATTTTAAAAAAATGCTTAAAAAAAATAGCACAGTTTTCCCCCAGCCAAGATAATAACCAGCTACAAGATAATGCAGTTGGAAATAAAAGTTCATCTTTAGAATGGATAAAGCTGATGTTAGAAAATGTAGCAGATAAATGTCGGCCAGTTGCTTGCTGATACTGAACGCTCCTGCCACCTAAGATGTTGCTGGCACACTGTTGTCCTTCCCACGGGGGCTCCTTCTTTAAAACTTAGAGCAGGTAGGAGCAGATCCAAGTGTGGGCCTCCATAGAGGCAGGTAGCACTCGGGAGCAGAGCTGGAGGAAGGGGCTCCTTCTGCTTCCTCTCCCAGATTCGCCTGTGGATGTGCTCTTTCCTCAGCGCCAGGGAGAGGGCTGGAGTGTTAGTGCGGCTCCCGTGCAGGGAGGGAGCTGGAGATGCGCAGAAGCTGTGTGCTCCTCAGCAGTGTGGATGGCGCAGCAGTCACCAATTGGTGGTCTGTGAGGTCTGAAAGGTTGGCGACCTCTGGCCTGGAGTACTCGCCCTGCGAAGATGGAGATGAGATTTTTCACGTGGTGTTGGGCGTAGGGGGGATGATGGGGTGATGTTTAGTTTGGAGAAACTGTGGTGGGAATCATGGGAAGGTTGCTGTAAAGAGAATACCAGCCCCCAACAGCAGTTGGATGGGGGTCTCCACAGGCTTCCATGGGGGTGTCATTCACTGCAATCTGCTCTCGGGGGAGTAGGTAAAAGGATCTTGAAGAAGAGTATGTTGTATACTAACATAGTAATTTCTTTCTGAGCTAAAGTCCTAAAAAAAACACAACACATTATTGCCAAAACCCATTTGGCTCAGTGGATAGAGCATCAGCCTGTGGACTGAAAGGTCCCGGGTTCGATTCTGGTCAAGGGCAAATACCTTGGTTGTGGGCACATCCCCAGTACGGTTGTACAAGAGGCAACTGATCGATGATTCTCTCTCATCGATGTATCTAACTATCCCTCTCTCTTCCTCTCTGTAAAAAATAAATAAAATATATATTTTTAAAAAAGCAAAACACATTATTGATGGATTTGAGAGAGAGGAAGGAAGAAAGTGAGAAACACTGATTTGTTGTTCCACTTATTTACATATTCACTGGGTGATTCTTGTATGTGTTCTGACCGGTTTGGTGGTGAACCTGCAACCTTAGGTGTATAGGGACGACACTCTAACCAACTGAGCTGCCCGGCCAGGGTTGAGCTAAGGTCTGATCACCTTTTTACTATTATATTAAAAAATTCCCATACAATTGTAGTCCAGGCTGTTTCTGAAACTAACTACTCTGTCACTTCAAACCTGCAGTCATGAATTTGGGGCTGATGGAGAAGAACTCCTGGGCCCGGCTCTGCATATGCTTAGCAAACCCTGGCCTTCCTGTGGGTCCTGGGTGTGTGGTGAGCTGAGCTCTGTTTCCCAGGTTGTGTATGAGAGGTGTGAGAAGCTGCGGCCCACCCTGTTCCGGCTGGCGAGTGACACTGTGGACGATGACGACGCACTAGGTAACGGCTCTTTCTCTCGGTACAGGCAGCAGCCCAGGTGCAAGCAGGCGCGCGCCTTCCTGTGGTGCCCCCGGGGTGCAGGGACAAGGCAGAATGGACTTTAGGGTTTATGGTGATGGGCTCAGGAAGGGCATGCCCTAAGTTGACTTAGGACTGATTTCTAGAAGAATCTAGCCTTGAGCAAGAAATCAGTCTCTGGTCTGAAACCATGGAAAGGGGGAAATGCACCATGTAGATTTGGTATGAGGGTGAGAGAAGAAAGAGAGGACAGTGCTGGGGCCTGAAGAAAGGCTGGACGTCCCACAGTGGCTGCCTGTGGTCATGTTGGAGGTTCCCCCACCTGGGTACCTTCAGCGGCTGGGAGGAACCAAAGGAGTTAGGGTTAGGGAGAGAGGAGCAATTTTTTAAATCCTCACCCAAAGACATGCTTATTGATTTTAGAGGGAAAGTATGGGTGAGAGAGAAACATCAATGTGAGTGAGAAACATCACTCCATTGTACTCCCCCTTAACCCCCCAGCTGGGGATTGGACCTGCAACCTAGGTATGTGCCCTGACCAGGAATCGAACTGTGCAACCTTTTGATCTACAGGATGGTCCTCCAAGCAGCTGAGCCACAGGGCTAGGGCAGGAGAATGGAGAATTTTAGTATCTGAACACAGGTATTAAAACATTTTGTGGGGCAGTGGGGGGTCAATGGGAGGATAAGGACACATATGTAATACCTGAATCAATAAAGAAAGAAAGGAGAAAAAAAAAAACCATTTTGGAAAAAAACACACACACACAAAAAAAATATTTTGTTTGCCCCGCCGGTGTGGCTCAGTGGTTGAGTGTTGACCCATAAACCAGGAGGTCATGGTTCAATTTCTGGTCAGAGCACATGTCCATGTTGCAGGCTTGAACCCATGTGGGGGGCATGCAGGAGATAGTGATGTTTCTCTCCCTCCCTCCCTGCCCCCCCTCCCTCTCTCTCTCTCTCTCTCTCTCTTTCTCTCTCTCTCTTTTCAATCCTCCTCCTCCTCCCCTTCCTCTTCCTTTCTATCTCTGAAGTCAATAAGAAGTCCAAAACATTTTAGCCTAGCTAGTTTGGTTCAGTGGATAGAGAGTTGGTCTACAGACTGAAGGGTCCTGGGTTCGATTCCGATCAAGGGCACATATCCAGGTTGCGGATTCAATCCCCAGTAGGAGGCACGCAGGAGGCAGCTGATCAGTGATACTCTCTCATCATTAATGTTTCTATCTCTGACTCCCTCTCTGAAATCAATAAGAAAACACACAGCCATATTTAAAAAATTTGTTTTTTATTGAAACTCAACAAACACATCAGAAAGGGAAATAGTAGAATAAATTCTATGTACTCTTCTCTTAATGACAATGACCAAGTCATGACCAGTTTTCCCATTTTTGTTTCTTCTGAAACACACTTTTCCTCCACACACACCCCCCCATTCTATTTTGAATCAAATTCCAAACATTTCAAAGTAATTAAATAGTGTTCAGAGTTCTCTGGCATTTCCTTCTTTAACTATTTACTTTCTACTGTTTGGCCCCCTCCTTTTTAAATAGTTTGTTCTAAACCAGACTGAAAAGAAAAACCATACTTTCAAATTGGTTGATATTTCTTTTTCTTTTTTTTAAATATATTTTTTTTGATTTTTTTACAGAGAGGAAGGGAGAGAGATAAGAGAGCTAGAAACATCAATGAGAGAAACATCGACCAGCTGCCTCTTGCACCTCCCCTTCCCCCCACCCACTGGGGATGTGCCCGCAACCAATGTACATGCCCTTGACCAGAATCGAACCCAGGACCCTTCAGTCCGCAGACCAACGCTCTACCACTGAGCCAAACCGGTTTCGGCCTTTTCTTTTTTTTTTTTAATGTTGTTTTTAGAGAGAGAAGAAGGGAGAAGGCCAAAGAGTTAGAGACATTGGTGAGAGAGAAGCATGGATCGGCTGCCTCCTGCACATTCCCTACTGGGGATCAGACCTGCAACCGGGAATTGATCTGGTGTCTCTTGGTGCATGGGATGACAATCCACTGAGCCCCACCGGCAGTTGATATTTCTTGTCTTTTAATGAATAGCCCCCATTCTGTCTTTTTAAAAAAAATTTTTTTTAATTGATTTCAGAGAGGAAGGGAGAGGGAGAGAGAGAAACATCAATAATGAGAGAGAATCATTGATAGGCTGCCTCCTTCATGCCCCTTACTGAGGATCAAGCCTTAAACCCAGGCATGTGTCTTTGACTGGAATCGAACCCGGGACCCTTCAGTCTGTAGGTTAATGCTCTTCCACTGAGTCAAACCAGGTAGGGCTGTGAAAAATGTGTCCTGTGACTTGCAGAGTTTTTTTTTGTTCTCAGTTTTCTGATGGCATCCCCATGGTGTTTACTGTGAGTCTCTGTTCCTGAGATTCCTTATCAGTTGGGTCAGGGGCCTTGATCAGATTCAGGTTCACTTGGGGTGGGCTAAGGGGGAACGAGAATACTTCATAGGTGGTGTTCAAGAGGCCTCCCGTGTCTGGTTGTTGGCAGGAAGCAATAGGGGGGTCCCTTCTGGGAAGGAACCTTCTAGCACTTTGGCCTCGATGGCCCCTAGTCCTGTGCTCTCCTGTCTGTCTCCTGGGAGTGATTTTTTCAGGTAAACTAGACCATGAGAGGCTCTTGTAGTTTTTGAAATCTGGGTGTATTTTATACTTTCAGGACATTTTAATTTGGACATTAAATTTCCTTCAGGAATGCTTGATCTATATTTAGATTTTAAAAGGGTAGATTTATGTAACAGTTTGTTCCCTACATACTTAAAAGCTTTTTACTAACTGAATAAAGTACCCCAAAATTCTTAATAATATTCACATCCAAATTGATAAAACAGCTTTCTGTTTTAATTTTAGATTAATTAAAGTTTTAGTTCCTTAGTTAATGGAGACATATTTCATTAGGCTATCATGTTGGACAGAACAAGCATAGAAAGTGAAAAAATTTGGTTCCTCCTCTATCATGAGAATGGAAATGTAGGGGTTCAGGGATTAAGTGATTGGATATGCTAGAGGGGCCTGATCACATGATCAAGAGAGATAGGGATAACACCCCATCTGGCAGCCATGGGACATCTGCCTTGCGGAATGGCTTAAAAAGGACTACAGGCTGGCTGGCATAGTTCAGTGGTTGAGTGTAGACCTATGAATTAGGAGATCACGGTTCGATTCCTGGTTAGGGCACATGCCTGGGTTGCGAGCTTGATCTACACATCCCCAATGTGGGGTGTGCAGGAGGCAGCTGGTCAATGATTCTATCTCTCATTGATGTTTCTTTTCTTTAAAAAAACAAAACAAATATGCCGAAACTGGTTTGGCTCAGTGGTAGAGCGTCGGTCTGCGGACTGAAGGGTCCCAGATTCGATTCCGGTCAGAGGCATGTACATTGGTTGCGGGTACATCCCCGGTGGGGGGTGTGCAGGAGGCGGCTGGTCGGTGTTTCTCTCTCATTGACGTTTCTAGCTCTCTGTCTCTCTCCTTTCCTCTCTGTGAAAAATCAATAAAATATATTTAAAATAAATAAGAATAAAAAAAAAAACAAATATATTTTTACTAGAGGCCCTGTGCATGAAATTTGTGCACTTGGCTTCCCTCAGCCCAGCCTGCACCCTCTCACTGTTTGGGAGCACTTGGAGGATGTCGAAGTGCTGGCTTAGGCCCGCTTTCCATGGGCCTGACCGTCAATTGGACATTCTTAGGAGAGGCTCCCTTCGCGCTGCTGTGCTCACCAGCTGTGAGCCTGGCTCGGCTTCTGGCTGAGCAGCACTCCCCTGTGAGAGTGCACTGACCACCAGGTGGCAGCTCCTGCATGGAGTGTCTGCCCCTGGCGGTCTGTGTGTCATAGGGAATGGTCGTTCCGCCATTCAGTTGATTTGCAATAATAAATATTAGCCTTTTATTATATAGGATTGATGTTAGAGAGGAAGAGAGATTGGAACATCAATGATGATAATCATTGATCAGCTTCCTCCTACATGCCCCCTACTGGGGATGGAACCTGCAACTCGGGCCTGTGTCCTTGACCAGAATCCAACCCGAGACCCTTCAGTTCATAGGCCGATGGTCTATCCATTGAGTCAAACTGGCTAGGGCTTGTCACTGATGTTTCTTTCTCTCCCTTTTCTTTCCTCTCTGTAATCAGTAAAGAAATATTTTTTGGGGGGGGGGGGGGAGATTGGTTATTGGTAGCCAAACTTGGGGACTGTGATTTCTCTCATTCTCCAGCGGAGATTCTCCAGGCGAACGACCTCCTCACCCAGGGAGTTCTGCTGTACAAACAGGTGATGGAGGGCCGCGTCATCTTTGGGAGCACGGTGACCAGCACAGCAGGAGACACTCCTGTCTGCAGAGGTATGTGCAGAGGGCCTCTCTGTACTCTCTACCTTGGAGCAGCCTCAGATCCTAGGGACGAGATGACCCGCAGAATATCCTGGGTTATGACATGGAAATGAGAAAACTCTCCCTCCCTCCTCTGAGAACTGCCACATGTGTCGTGATGAACTGACTGGCAGGCTGGACCCCAGCTTTGCTAGACACAGCAGCAGATGGCTGTATTGCACCCAGGTTTAGACTCCTTTTCTCATGTGTGCTTATTATGGGAACTGGAGACCAAAAAAATGGTCTTCAGTGGTTTCTGACACCTGCTAGCTACATCAGAGTCACCTGGACTCTGGTTAAAATACAAATTCTCAGGCCCCTGGCCTGGGCTTTCTGAGTCAGGATTACTTAGAGCGAGGCGGGGTGTGTGCATGTTTATCAAGCCCTGCAGCTGTTTCTGGTTGGCTGTGGTCGGGAGCCTCAGAGGGGCTCTGAGCTGCAGAAGCCAGCTGGCTATGTCTAGGCTGAATGGACACAAGAGGACGACTGGCTGCTTGCGGGAAGGCAGTCCTCTGGCTCCTCATTCCAGGCCCCATGCTGGCTCTCTGTCAAGCCCTCCACTTGAGGTGGAAGGTGTTGGGGGGTGCTAAGGGTGGGGTGCTGTGATGTCGACTGGAGGAGGCCCGAGGGAAGCTGGTGGCTTTAAGTAGAGACTTTGCTCTCACTCTGAATGAAGAGCCTCCTCAATCCGTTCTCTAGTCTTGCAGAGTCCAGCAGCCTGCCCGAGGAGCTGCCTGATTGACTTGGAGCCAGACAGTGGGTCTGAGCAGGCTGTGCCTGGGGCGCCATCTCTGCTTCATCAGGACCTGGCAGCCTTAGGTGAGGGAGTGGTCTGGGGAGCAGGCAAGAATGGTCTTGGCTCCCCAGGGAGTGGGTAGGCTGGGTCCCCTTGGAGGGAATGTGCCTGTTTTTAGAGGGAAGTGGGTATACTGGGAAGCTCAGAGAAGTCCTCTTTGCACTTAGTCTCAGGTTCATTGTGGGTGCAGTGAATGCCTGTGGGTTCTTTGCTTTGGGCTTTCTAAGTGCCCTGGAAAGGATGGGCATGGTGCTGCTCTCCCTCCTGTCAGCATGAGTGACTCTGTTGCTCTCTTGTAGGAATCAGTGATGCTCCAGTTACCAGCAAGGTAAGGAGGCTCTTCCCAGGGCCCGCAGGGGAGTGGAGGGACAGCTGTCGAGGAGAGGGGCTAGTGTGGGGTGCTTTAGACCTGGAGGCCAAAGCCTCTTCCTCAGTCTGCTGTCTGGTGGCAGCCCCACAGGGCACATGTCCTGTCTCCTCCTCGTGCCTGCTCCTCTTGTAGTGCCCGGGCTCTGCTCTTGCCTTCCTGCCTCAGGCAGTGCAATCAGCCCGGTGTGCAGTAGCTTTGGTGGGTCAGGAGAGCTATGCATGTGTCACTGTAGCTAGTGGTCATTCGTACCCTGGCCTCATATTAGCTGTTCCTGGTTTGGCAGGTTGCTGGGCAGAGTTGCTGTAAGGAAAAGAGGAATCCTGCGGGCACACTGCAGGGTGGTGATGTTCAGAGCCCATCAGCAGAGAGGAGCGTGCTGGACCTCCTTTCCCCACAGTCACCTTCTGGCGCCCTGTGAGTCATGTGGGCAGGGGAGCGAGAGGAGGGCTCCTTGCATGGGGGAGGGGGTGACCCTCGAAGACAGGCAGAGACGTCGCTCTGCAGAGGCGTCTTTGCTTCCCTCTTCCTCCTCTTACTCTCATCCCCAGTGAGGAAAGGACACCCTTGGCCAAGGGCTCTGGAGAGGGTTTGTTTAAGCAGCAGCAGCAGTGTGTAATGATGTTTTTGTTTGCAGGTTGAGGATTGTTGTTTTTTTTCCTGATTATTATATAATTAGAGGCCCGATGCATGAAATTCGTGCACAAGTAGGCCTTCCTTCCCCTTGCTGCCGACACTGGCTTCCTTCCAGCACCCGGGACCCGGGCTTCCCTCACAGCCCCAGCTTTGTCCAGAAGGTCGTCCGGAAGGATATCTGGTCTAATTAGCATATTATGCTTTTATTATTATAGATTTGAAGTTAAGTAAAAAACCTTTTTTTTAATATATTTTTTTGATTTTTTACAGAGAGGAAGAGAGAGGGATAGAGAGCTAGAAACATCGATGAGAGAGAATCATTAATTAGCTACCTCTTGCACACCCCCACACTGGGGATATGCCCGCAACCAAGATATCAATACATGTCTTTGACCGGAATTGAACCTGGAACCCTTCAGTCTGCAGGCCAACGCTCTATCCACTGAGTCAAACCAGTTTTGGCTAAGTAAAATTTTATCACCAGAGAAATAGTTAATATAGAAAATACCAATATCAACCTCTAAAGACAATGTTGAATATTACTTTGTGTTTTTTTTCTATACATGTAGAAATGTGTTATTGGCATTTATTTTTATACAGATGGGGTCATAATTTATAAACTACTCCAATGTGGATTTTTTCATATCACATTTTATCTTTGATATGTGTGCATGTCAGTTTATATAAATAGTTATATAACGATTCATATATTCTCATATGTGTATTTAATCATTTCCCTCTTGTGGATCTTTCCATAGCTTCCAGTTTGGAGGCACTTGGGGCAGTGGTTATAGTACAGGTTTCCTTAAACAGAGGTGCTTCGAGCTGTGAATGCGAACACATTTCCCGAGACCTTGTCCCTTTGCCTTTGGAAATATTAGCAGCCTGAGTGCTATGACCCCGATGGAGAGAGACCACTGGGCTCTGGTGGCAGGGATGTGCGGGAGGGGCTTCTTTCCAGTTCTGTCATCACTCCACGGGGGCCAGCTATCATTCTTATTTTTATGGGTTATGTTTCTGGACTTTAGTTTTCCAAAAATGTTTCAGTTTGTGTTGCAAATGGACAACATCGTCAAGAAGTGTGAATGAAATGGTGCCTGAATCTGTGACCATCTTCCTGGCTTCCGTTTCGCTGGGAATCACATGTAGGAAACAGCCTGGCTGAGCTGCCTGTGGTCAGGCTGCCTGATAGCCACATTGGTTACTTTATTAATAGCTTATTGGACCCTCATTATGTCACACATTCCACTGAGTACTTTCCAGGCATTTGCTCATTTAATTCTAACAACACTCAGAGAAGTGAGGCCTAGGATACATTACTTATCTAGGTTTCATTACTTATCTAGTCCACCTGGTGTGGCTCAGAGGTTGAGCATCCACTTATGAACCAGGAGGTCACTGCTCAATTCCTGGTCAGGGCATGTACCTGGGGTTGTGATTCCCAGTGGGGTATGCAGGAGGCAGCCAACGCATGATTCTCTGTCATCATTGATGTTTCTATTTCTCCCTCTTCCTTCCTCTCTGAAATCAATAAAGTATAAAAAGACAAAAAGTCTCATACCTCTAAAACACACACATACTCACATATACATATATGTGTTTTAGTTTTTTTCTTTCCCTTTCTTATCTTGTTCTTTAGAAAGCACAGTCACAGATTCCTATAATCTGTCTTGATATTTTTTATATTTCTTTGTAGGAATTATATTCCACAGAAAAATATCCCCAAGGAGGTGGCACCAGGTACTAAGTCCTCTCCAGGTTGGTCCTGGGAGGCTGGCCCATTGGCTTCGTCTTCCTCTTCTCAGAATACACCTCTGGCTCAAGTGTTTGTCCCTTTGGCGTCTGTTAAGCCCAGTAAGTGCAGTTTCACCTTTTTTTGTTTTCTTTCTTTCCTTCTATTAGATGCCCAGCTTTATCCCATGAGAAGATGGGTGATAGAAGTTTTGCCTTGGGGTAGAAGATAAGGAGGTGGTTTCACATCTCTTAGCTAATATTTTCCGTAACTAGAGGTCTGATGCAAGATTTGTGCCAGAACGGGCTTTCCTTCCCCTGGCTGCCAGTACCGCCTTTGTTCCGGCCTGGAGCCGCCTTCTACCTTCCCACACTGCCTAAAGGCTCAGAGCGGCTGGGGTGGTGCAGAACACCTGCATCATTGCCATGGCATCGATGCCAGCGTCCTGTCCCTGGCCACTCAGTGCCTGTGTATGCAAATTAACCTGCCATCTTTGTTGGGTTAATTTGCATTCCCACTCCTGATTGGTGGGTGTTGCAAATGTACTGTCAGTTTGCATCTTTCTCTTTTGTTAGTGTAGACTAGAGGCTCGGTGCACAAAATTTGTGTTTGAGGGTGTGTGTCCTTTAGCCCAGCCTGCACCCTCTTCAATCTGGGACATCCCTCACAATCTAGGACTGTTGGCTCCCAACTGTTTGCCTGCCTGCCTTCCTGATTGCCCCTATTCACTTCTGCCTGCCAGCCTGTTCACCCCCTAACCACTCCCCTGCCAGCCTGGTCACCCCTAACTGCCCTCCCCTGCAGGCTTGATCACCCCCAACTGCCCTCCCCTGTAGGCCTGGTCCCTCTCAACTGCCCTCCTCTGTTGGCCTGATCACCCACAACTGCCCTCCTTTGCAGGCCTGGTCCCTCCCAACTGCCCTCCCCTGATGGCCATCTTGTGTCCACATGGGGGCAGCCATCTTGTGTGTTGGATTGACAGTCAATTTACATATTATTCTTTTATTAGATAGGATGATTTCTTTGTCTTGGGGTGGATGCTGTGAAGGATATTGTCAGGTGGAATTTAACTAGGGTGATTGAATCTGCTTACGGACTTGATGTTCATTCATTTGGAATCAAGAGGGAATGTTCAGTGTGGCTTGAAATAATTCAGAAGAGGAGGAATGAGAAGGAAATTAAGAAATTGATTGGTGATTCTCTTCCTCTATGGATCTTTTTTTTTAATTTAGTTTTTTTATTAAATCATTATCTGTGTACATATTTTACCATTGCCCCCACCCCTCCCATACATACCCACCCTTCCCAGAGTTTTGTGTCCATTGGTTGTACTTATATGCATGTTTACAAGTCGTTCGGTTGATCTATTATCTCCCCCAGATCTCCCTCCCCTCCCCTCTGTGATTTGACAGTCTGCTTGTTGCTTTACTGTCTCTATATCTATCTTTTGGTTCATCAGTTTATAGTGTTCTTTATTATCCATAAATGAGTGAGGTCATGTGGTGTTTCTCTTTCATTGACTGACTTATTTCACTCAGCATGATGTTCTCCAATTCCATCCAGGTTGCTGCAAATGATGAGAATTCCTTCTTTTTTATGGCAGCATAGTATTCCATTGTGTCGATATACCATAGTTTTTTGATCCAATCATCTGCTGACTGGCACCTAGGCTGTTTCCAAATTCTAGCTATTGTAGATTGTGCTGCTATGAACATAGGGGTGCATATATCTTTTCTGATTGGTGTTTCTAGTTTCTTGGGATATAATCCTAGGAGTGGGATTACTGGGTCAAATGGGAGTTCCATTTTCAGTTTTTTGAGGAAACTCCACCCTGTTCTCCACAGTGGTTGCACCAGTCTGCATTCCCATCAGCAGTGCACGAGGGTTCCTTTTTCTCCGCAACCTCGCCAACACTTGTTGTTTGTTGATTTGTTGATGTTGGCCATTCTGACAAGTGTGAGATGGTACTGCATTGTTGTTTTGATTTGCATCTCTTGGATAATTAGTGACTTTGAGCATGTTTTCATGTGCCTCTTGGCCTTCCTTTTGTCTTCTTTTGAAAATATTCTATTTACATCCATTGCCCATTTTTTAATTGGATCATTCATTTTCCTTTTATTTAGTTGTATAAGCTGTCTGTAGATGTTGGAGATTAAACCTTTATCAGTGGTAACATTTGCAAATATGTTCTCCCATACAGTGGGCTTTCTTGTTTTGTTGATAGCTTTTTATTTTTTTGTTTTCCCGTTGATTTTTTTTTTTCTTTTTCTTTTTTAGAGAGAGTGGAAGGGAGAGAGGGAAACATTGATGTGAGAAACCCCAACCAGGTTCATGCCCTTGACCGGTACTCAAATCCTTTGGCATGTGAGCTGATACTCTAACCGTTGAGAACATTGGCCAGGGCTGAATTGGATATATTCTTTTTCTTTTTTGATTTTTTTGTTTGTGTGTGTGTTTATTTTAAATTTCATTGCATTTTTAATTTTTAATTTTAATTTATTAATTTTTAAATCTTTATTGTTCAAAGTATTGCATACGTCCCCTTTTCTCCTCAGTTACCCCTTCCAGTCTGCCGCTGTCCCCCTCCCCTTGCCCAGGCTGTATATACATACCATGTCTTTGGTTGATTACCTCCCATCCATCCACCCTCCCCCGTCTTCCCTCCGAGATTCTGCACTCTGTTCCCTGCTTCCATGCCTCTGGATCCTCTCTGTTCGTCAGTTTATTTTGTTAATTAGATTCCACATATGAGTGAGATTATATGGTACTTGTCTTTCTCTGACTGACTTATAATGATATTCTCCATGTCCCCCCATGCAGAATATATTCTTTTTTTTAAATATATTTTAATGATTTTTACAAAGGGGAAGGAAGAGGGATAGACAGTTAGAAACATTGATGAGAAAGAAACATCCATCAGCTGCCTCCTGCACACCCCCTACTGGGGATGTGCCTGCAGCCAAGGTACATGCCCTTGACTGGAATCAAACTCCGTACCCTACAGTCCACAGGCCAAAGCTCTATTCACTGAGCCAAAATGGTTAGGGCTGGATATATTCTTAAAAGTAGAAATGCTGGCCATAGCCAGTTTGGCACAATGGGTAGAGTGTTGGCCTTCGGACCAAAGGGTCCTGGCTTCTATTCCTGTCAAGGGCACATACCTTGGTTGCAGGCTCCTCCCCAGCCCAGGCGCTGGTTGAGGCTCATGCAGGATGTGTTTCTATCTTTCCCTCTCTTTTCCACTCTCCCGAAAAATCAATGGAAAAATATCCTCGGGTGAAGATTAACGATAAATAAATAAAATAATAAATAAATAAATAAATGAAAGTAAAAACATTGGTGTAGACAATTAAACATTTTTGATCTGCATTGTCAAAGCTCCCTTCTAGAAAGGTTGCTTTAACTCTATAATCAACCACAATCCCTTATAGGTATTGTCTTTTGAATCTTTGGCAGTTTAATTGTTAAATACTACCTGGTGCACACGATTCATGCACCGGTGGGGGAATGGTCTGCGGGGATTGACCCGCTGTGGAAGCACCCCTCATCCTAGTCAGCTGAGGGACTGTGGACCCGCCCTTTGAGCAACTACATCTTCCATGGAGCCGGAGCACTCACCTCTCCAGAGGACCCAATCTGGGTGGGGCCGGGGACAGTAGCACTGAGAGGTGGCGGAGTAGATCTCAGTACCACAGTGGCCACGAACCCGCCTCCCACCTTCTGGTGTCAGCTCTGTGAGCCTGGCTGCATGGCGGTACTACACAGCCTGTGGGCATCTGGAGGAGCAGCTGGGAATGAGGAGGAGGAGGAGGAGGAGGAGGAGAAGGAGGAGGCGGTGGCCCAGGCGGCGGCCCAGCCCGGATTCCTGCCCATCAGCCTGAGGTTCGCTGCAGGAGCAGCCTCTCATCCTGGTTAGCTGAGTGGTGCTCCCACTGTGGTAGCACACTGACCACCAGGGGGCAGCTCCTGCATTGAGTATCTGCCCCCTGGTGGTCACTGCACATCATAGTGGCTGGTTGACCAGTCATAGTCATTCTGATTGTTATGCCGATCTGTTGCTGGGCTTTTATTTTATAGGATATTAAAAAAATTTTTTTTTTTTTATTGATATTTTAACAAGAGAGGGGGTGGGAGAGAGAGAGAGAAAGAGACATCAATGTGAGAGAAAATCATCCATCAGCTGCCACCTATAATGTCCCCTACTAAGGATTGAGCCCACAACCTGGGCATGTGCCCTGACTGGAATCGAGCTGATGACCTTTGGTGCATGGGCCGACACTAACTGAGCCACATGGGCCAGAGTTTTGGAACTGTATTTTTATATTTGCCTTTTGATAAGTGATGGTTGTCATGAGACAAAGATTCATTAAAATTATTTTCTAGATCATTAGTCTGGTGTCTGCGTTTATTAAATATATGTTCTTAACATGTTATGCTCTCACATTTGGATCTGTTTTGCATGCTTTGTTTTATACCACTTTGCTTGACTTGCTAGTTTGTGCTATCTGAGTATTTGTTAATGCAAATCGCTGTACCTCCCTCCCCCTCTCTCCTTTTTCTCTATGGTTAGTCTCATGTCTTTGTTTTTCCCACTAAATGAGATGTAGAATCATTTCCTAGCAACATTAAAACCTTTCCTTTAGGATTTCTGTTGGAATGCCGTTGAACCTGTTAATTGGAAGAGATCTGCTGTCTGTATAGTTTTTCCAAGTTAAATATGGGAGGGCGAGGGTATAGTCATATATAAGAGACCAGAAGAAAACAGGCGTAGAGGTTAGCAGTGCTTTTTTCTGGGTAGAATTAAGGATGTTTATTTTTTTCCATATAAGGCTGTTTGTTTTTTGTTCGTTTGTTTTAAAAAATGATGTTCTTTGATATGCTGTATTTTTCATAGTGTTCATACATTATATTAATCATAATCTTATCTCCTTTTTTAAAAGCTCTCTTAAAAAACACCTGGTAATGTGCTTAGGATGGTTAGATGGTGGGAGAGGTCTATGAGGGTTTTGAACATCCAACTAGAAGCCGTAGGACCTGGCTTTCGGCAGTGCCGAGGCTAATCCCTGAGCTGCTCCCACCGGAGGAGCACCAGCATTCGGTGGGAAGGTGTACGTGCCTCCAGGCGTGGCTGTCTGGTCGTTACAGCAGCACTAACGTTTCTCGGTTCTGCCCTTCTCTACCAGGCAGCCTGCCTCCGATCATCGTGTACGACCGGAATGGATTCCGAATTTTGCTCCACTTTTCCCAGACGGGGGTCCCTGGCCACCCCGAGGTGCAAGTGCTCCTGCTGACCATGATGAGCACTGCCACCCAGCCTGTCTGGGACATTATGTTTCAGGTGGCCGTGCCAAAGGTGAGCCATTCACTGGGTAGATGGTTTGAGTTTGTAATTTCTGAGCACCAGATCCATTATCTCTCAATTAGGTGGAAGGATAGAATCTTCACTCAAAGTAGTTGAAGGTACTCAGCAGCATGGCTCAGTGTTTGAGCATCGACCTAGGAACCAGGAGGTCATGGTTCCGTTACTGGTCAAGGCACATGCCCAGGTTGCGGGCTCGATCCTCAATGTCAGGTGTGCAGGAGGCAGCTGATCAGTGATTCTCTTTCATGATTGAAATCAATAAAAGTATATTTTAAAAAAGTGGTTGAAGGTAAAATGGGGACTTTATTGGCTCATTCTGCTGGTGATCCCTTAAATTCTGGTCCAGGTAGATTCTTAGAGGATTCCTTAGGAACCTGTCTCTTCCCTCTTCTTACTGCTTTCCTGTTGGGAGCCTGTTCTGTGACAGACTCTTCCCAAAGCAGGAAAACAGTGCTAGCAGCTCTAGAATCACCTGGTTCTTAACTCTTGTATCTCAGAAGGAAACTCTCCTATGCTGTACACCTGAAACTAATACAAAATAATATTGAATGTAAACTGTAGTTGGAAAATTTATTTATTGATTGATTTTTAAGTTTGGGTTGTGTTTTTTTTTTTTTTGTCCTCACCAGAGGATATTTTTCCATTGATTTTTTTAGAAGGGAGGAGGAGAAGGAGAGAGAGAGAAACATTGATGTGAGAGAGACATATCGATTGGTTGCCTCCTGCACAGGCCCTCACCAGGGATGGGGATCAAGCGTGCAACTGAGGTACATGCCCTTGTCTGGAATCAAACCTAGTTCCTTCAGTCCCCAGGTGGATGCTCTATCCACTGAGCCAAACTGGCTAGTGGTCGGCAAACTCATTAGTCAACAGAGCCAAATATCAACAGTACAGTGATTGAAATTTCTTTTGAAAGCCAAATGTTTTAAACTTCTCCTAATGCCACTTCTTCAAAATAGACTTGCCCAGGCCGTGGTATTTTGTGGAAGAGCCACACTCAAGGGGCCAAAGAGCCACATGTGGCTCGCAAGCCGCAGTTTGCTGACCACTGGAGTAGGGATATAATTGATTTTTTTAAATTTTTATGTAATGCTTCAGGAATTTTCGTGTCATCCTTGCTCAGGGGCCATGCCAGTCTTCCCTGTATCATTCCGTTTTAGTATATGTGCTGCTGAAGTGACCACTAATTGAAAATTTTAAAACACTTTTTTAAAATGTAAAATTCAATGAATATGGAAGAGAGAGAGAAAAAAGAAAGAACCCTGGTAGGTGGCTCAGCTGGTTGGGACGTTGTCCCATGTACCAAAAGGCTGTGGGCTCAATTCCCCATCAGGACACCTACCGAGGTTTTGGGGGCAAGTTCTAGAGGCATTTCTCACATTGATGTTTTTCTCTCTCTCTCTTCCTCTCTAAAATCAATAAAAACACATCCTAAAGTGAGGGGGCGAGGGGAAGGAGAAAGAAAGACTCATCTGGCACGAGGCAGTCTGACTAATTGCCAAGAAAACATGGATAGGATTGGCACTATGGTGTTCCTTGTGGGCCTTGGCAATTAGTGTCCAGGGATATGAGGTACTCGGGTCAATTTGGATATTAGGTCCACCCCTTCACAAGAGGAGGAGGGCCCCACAAGAATGGCAATACTGGAATCACAAAAGATAGGGAAGGAGCATGTCCTGAAAGGAAAGATTCAAAGCAGACCTTTTTTTTTTTTTAAGAAGTCAGACACCAAAGTTGACATTCTTTTTTATTTTTTTAACAGAGAGGAAGGGAGAGGGATAGAGAGTTAGAAACATCGATGAGAGAGAAACATTGATCAGCTGCCTCCTGCACACTCCCCACTGGGGATGTGCCCGTAACCAAGGTACATGCCCTTGACCAGAATCGAACTTGGGACCCTTCAGTTCACAGGCCGACAAGTTGGTTAGGGCAAAGTACACATTTTCTTTCTTTTTTTTGTGCACATTTTCTTAAATTTTTTAATTCTTACGGATTTGAAAGAGAGAAACATTGATTTATTGTTCCACTTATTGATGCATTCATTGGTTGATTCTTGTATGTTCCCTGACCAGGGCTTGAATCCACAACCTTGGGATATCAGGACAATGTTCTAACCAGCTGAGCTGCCTGACCAGGGCCAAGATACATTTCTAAAAATATATTTTTATTGATTTCAGAGAAGAAGGGAGAGGGGGCAAGAGAAACATCAGTGATGAGAATCATTGATCGGCTGCCTCCTGCATGCTCCCTACTGGGGATTGAGCCCACAATGTGGGCATGTGCCCTTGACTGGAATTGAACCCAGGACCTTTCAGTCCACAGGTCAATGCTCTATCCACTGAGTCAAATCAGCTTGGGCCCAAGATCCACTTTCTCATTCTCTTGGTGATCATGTGGGGCATGTGTTGTTATTACGTCTGTTTCATAAATTATTGTTCTAAGGCTTGGAAAGGTTAAATATTTATCCAAGGTTAAATATTTATCCAAGAGAGAGCCTGAGTTGGAGTTCAATTCCAGATGTGCCCTCGCTCTGCATGTGCCTCTCCGAACCCAAGGACTGACACATTCTGCCTGTGGGAGGAAGCATCTTTTGAATCCTGCCATTAGTTGGTGGGGTGCGGGTCAAGCTCTCCTATTCACCTGATCCCATATTAAAGCTGTCATTTATTAGAAATGACACGTTGGATCTCCCCCATCCTTGTAGTCAATGAGAGTGAAACTGCAGCCGGCGTCCAGCTCCCAGCTCCCAGCGTTCAGTCCTTTGATGCCTCCGGCCGTGATCTCTCAGATGCTGCTGCTTGACAATCCACACAAAGTATGTTCTGGTTTCTAACAGCAGGGAGGTGGGCGGGCCCCTGAACTATAGGGTGGCATGTTGAAGTCTTCCTCTGAAGTCTCTGGTGGTTGGGAGTGGTGGCGGCTGTTCCCTGCTAGAGTGTGTTTTCCTTTGGGGCTATTGAAAGAAGCCCGGGGACGAGATTGTCATGGTTGGGAACCAAGGGAGGGACAAACTCTCCCTGTTACATGGAGTCTGAAAGGGTGAGGCCTGTCTGTTGTCCTCAGCTGGCCTCTTAGCAGTGGTCCAGCTCAGGATCGCACAAGTGTGGGATGAAGGACTTGAATGCCAGGCTGTGGACCTGGCTCCTCTTGTGTTGGTAATCCCCGGGGTCTATCCAGGGTGTCACAGCGTGAAGCCCTCACCTGGTCGAGTTAACAGGCATGCACTGTTGCTTGGTGACTACTGCATGGGAAAGGCTTTTACTTTGTGCTCTTCTCTCTGCTGCTTCTCACTAATTTATCTTCTATCTTTGCCTAGGAGCCAATCCGGTTACGGTATAAGCTGACATTCAACCAGGGCGGACAGCCTTTCAGCGAAGTAGGAGAAGTGAAAGACTTTCCAGACCTGGCAGTCTTGGGTGCAGCCTAACTTTTTTCCAGACACACCCTGCCATTCGAGTGTAGGCAATGTTCCTTGTGCTGTCTACATGGGACTAATCACAGTGACTGAGCGCAGACTGCCAGGAGTGCTGTCCTGATGCAGCCTCCAGATGCCAGCCTCTGGCTTGTTTTGTACTCTGTGTGTGTGTGTGGGGGGGGGGGGGGGGTGCGCTTGAACACACTGTACCGGGTTCATGGGAGGGTGGAACAGAACTTGGATGTGGTCAGTATGCAAAGTGCAGAAGCATTTCTGCAACCGCCTGCTACGAGCATATCTGTTCTGTCTGGACACTGGTCTTCTGCCTCAGGCGGGACATTTTATAGCCAAAGCTGTTGTTTTCATGTATTACCTTGTCACTCATCCACTCTGTGCCTTGTCAGCCTCTGAAAGTCTTGGTTGCTCCCAGGTTGCTGCTCTCAGGGACCTTAACAGGGACCCAGTGGGTCTTGGGGCAGAGGGTGCTTCTGGGGCACTCTTTCCACTTCCACTAGGGAATGCAGCTGGCACGTGTTCCAAAGACCTTCTAGATGGAATGCGTGTCGCATGTTTTCCAGGCAAGAGGCTGCACCGACCAGAGGACCACACTTGGTGGCCAGTCATGTTCTTCACCACTGTGCCTTCGAACCTCCCACAGCTGGACCTCAGGGCGGCGGGGAACGCAGATCCCAGGCCTCACTCAGGCCTTAGGCTCCGCGGGTTGTGCAGCCTGTCTGGGCCCTTACTCGGGACCCTCATCTCCATCCCGTCTGCCCAGGCATGTACTTAGAGCCCGGGTGGCGCAGTGCCAGTCACCGTACATCGTAGCTAGCAGGCTCCCCCTCGTCTGTTGCCTTCGCAACCCAAGATGAACTGTGATGCAAATAGATATGAAAAGAGCTTAGCAGTGATTTAAATGGTGACTAAATACAGAAAGTCACTGAATAAATACCTGTGTAGCAAATTTACTTTTTGAAGTTTTGATTGAAGGAGGTGTAAAGCCCGTTGCATTCAGAGATGATCGGCCCAAAGGGCGTGGCCTTTATTGAGGACAGAAGGAAGACTTCATGAGGGACCAGGGGCCTCAGTGGCTTCAGGGAAGCCACAAGCCCCTGGGTCTAGCAGTGCTGGGGAAGAGATTGGGTTTCTGTTACACTCACGGGTCAGGGGAAAGTCAGGTGTGCAGTGAACTTAGCACCCACTCTGTGCTGATTAACAAGCCCTGCATGGCCTGAAGAAGTCCCAGCAGCTCACCTGTGTGGGCAGGATTCTACCTCAGAAACTGCAAGGCTCTTTGGGGGCTTTTTATCACAAAATGTGGCACTGTATAGCCTGCTCTTTCAACGTCTACATCTAGTTGGAAATCTGCCAACACTGATTGGTGGGGAAAGGTGCATGCTAATTTTTAAGCAAATGAGAAAACGCATAAAACATAAATGATGGGGTGATTTCTTCACTTGGCATAGTGCACATAAGATTCATTTTAAGCTAAAATTACTTTAATGCTCACACGCTTAGTATAGCTTTTATAGACTAGCCATTTCACCCTCTATAATGACCGTGTCAGCCTGGGAAGAACTGCCATCACAATGTGTGAGTGAGACTTACATTGTTCAGAGGTGAACTCCTGCATCTGACCTCTGCTGCAGTGGGGTCTGCTTAGGGTGTGGTGGACAGGGGGAGGAGGGGACAGCGTGGTCCTGAATGTGGCCCTGATGTATGTTATCAGTCCTCTAGTTTTCAAGTTCATTCATCACTTCAAGCTCAGTCCTTATCCTCTTATTCACTTAAGTATTTGGCCAGCGACTATGAGGCAGACACTATTGTAGGCCCTGCCCGTACAGCAGCACCAGAGTTCCTACCTTTCCTCATCTTCTGTTCTAGTGGGAAGAGAAAAATCCACATTCCCGGGTGGAGGGGGTCAGTATTTTCCTGCCTGAACTCCTGGAATCCTGTTCACCCCAGTTCTTGACCTACCTCTGACTTCCCCTCTGTCCCTGTGTTTCTCCAGGGTGTAGTCCTCATTCTTTTTTAAGCACTGTGGGCAGTGCACCTCTAGATGGGTCCGTTTCAAGCTTCCACCGTGCTGACGTCGGATCCATGTTTCAAGCCAGCAGTGGATCTCTCTGTCTGGAGGGTCCACTGCTGCCTCAAACCCCAAATGTTTGGAATAGAACCCAACCTCCTCCCTGTTTCCACCTATATTTTCTTTTTCTTTTCTTTTCGTCCTTTTTTTTTTTTTTTTTTTTTTAACTATTTGCTTTTAAATCCTCACTGGAAGATATTTTTCCATTGTTTTTAGATATATTATAGTGAATGGGGGAGGGGCTGGAGAGAAACATCAGTGTGAGAGAGACACGCCAATTGGTTGCCTCCCCCACGTACCCAAATGGGACTGGGAGATGAACCTGCAACCCAGGTATGAGCCCTTGGCCAGGAAAGGAACTGCGACCTTTGGTGAGTGGGCTGACACTAACCACTGAGGCCCCTGGCCAGGACTAAGTTTTCTATTCGAAAGTATCTATCTGAGCCCTCACGGACCCTTCATTCCTGCTCCAGTCATTCCACTTGGTACCCTTGTCTCGATCTTTATTTCTAAATACTACCACATCTTGCTCTCCCTGCATTCACACTAGTTGCCTACCTCAGTTCTCTGAGCCATGGTACTTGCTATCACCAGAATTCTATAACAAGTCTGGGTACCTGATCCCTTGCTGGAAAATTCTGAGTGGTTCTTAATGTCTGAAAAGCTATGCAATCAAATTCAAGGTGTTTACACCAGCATTCAGTGCCCCCGCACTGCGCGCCCTGCTCACTGCCATCTGTCAAAAACAACGGACTTTCCACAGCCACAAGGTAGTTTGTCATGTTGTGATGTTTTCTCCGTGTCTGGCCACTGCAGTTACTCCTCCCCTCAGCTCTTCAGTGAATGGAAGATGCTGCTTTGCTGAGCATCAAAGGGCTATGGAGATAGTAAGTGGTGAAAGGGTAAATGGCTTAAAGAACATGTTACCATTAAAAAATATACAAGGTGGAAAGCGATATTCTAAAATGCAAAGTGCTGGACAACTGCAGTGTCTGCGAGTAGTCACACATTCTTTGGATACATTCCCATATAGAAGACACCAGCCCCAAACCACAAAATCTGTCACTAGTGTGCTTGTGTGTGTTTTTTTTGTTTTTTTTTTACTAAGGAAACAGAATTGTGTCCTGGAATACTAGCTATGGTTTTTTTGTTTTTGTGTTTTTAAAGGTGCGATTTGATACCCCATCTGGAAAGAGGGGAGCCAAACAAGGACAAAGCAGGCAGTGTCCTCAGATAAAATTACACAGTTAAGGCACACTTTAAAAAAATATACTTTATTTTTTACAGAAAGGAAGAGAGAGGAGAGGGATAGAGAGCTAGAAACATAGATGAGAGAAACATCTATCAGCTGCCTCCTGCATACCCCCTATGGGGAATTGCCCGCAACCAAAGTACATGCCCTTGACTGGAATCGAACCTGGGACCCTTCAGTCTGCAGGCTGACACTATCCACTGAGCCAAACCACACTTTTTAAAATTTTTATTTTTTAATCCTCACCCAAGGATATTTTTCCATTGATTTTCAGAGTGAGGAGAGAGGGGAAGACAGAAACTTCAATGTGAGAGAAACACATTGATTATTTGCCTCCTGCAGAAGCCCTAACCAGGGCCCGGCCCGGAGGAGCTTGCAACTGAGGTATGTGCCCTTGACCAGAATCAAACCCGGGTCTATCCGAGGTGAGCCTGCTAGGGCTAGGCACACTCAATGTCACCCAGAATGAAGTTAACTCGGCCTTTTGTACCCTCATCCAGTGCAAACCCAAGTCTACCATGTTTATTCAGAAAAAATGTAGTTTTCAGAGGTAGTTTTTAAAGATGAAGAAACACTTTAGCGTTACAGGCCCCAGGTACATCTGCTTTTAAAGATTGAGGTCTTGTACCTGCTTCGGCAGCACATACACTAAAATTGGAATGATACAGCATGGCCCCTGCACAAGGTTGATTCGCAAATTCATAAAGTGTTCCATATTTAAAAAAAAAAAAAAAAGTTGGACGTCTTCCAAAGTCCTAACAGTTTGAAATAATGAAGTCAGACCTTAGTTGTAATTGTGTTTACTTTCACTACTGCCACTGCCTCTACATAGCCATGTGACACGGAAAATATCCTCTGTAGAGTCCTCCCCTGTAACGTGGGTAGTAGGATTGTTTTGAAAATTAAATGAGTTAATATATGTAAAGTGACTATGATACCACATGGCAGTTAGCTAATACTCACCTTTCATTTGCTATTTCCTCTTAGCTTGTCCAACTGGCTTCCAGTAGAAGGGTGGACTTGCCTTGCCCATAATTAAAGTTCACCTTATAAAATAAAATTTAAAAATTTGGTGAGGTGCAAATACTGAGACAGTAAATGCCAAAGGTATGGGATAAATATATAAAAATTGTACTTGTAAAACAAAATAATTATATTCATAAGAGCATTAAAATGAATATAACACTTTGGAATAAATTTAATAAAGATACAAGACATTTACAATGTGCAACTACAAGATATTGCTGAGAGAAAATCTAAACGAGGTCCTCGGGGAACTGCTCTGGCTAGGGACAGCAATGTGTGGAGACCTCTCTGATTGTCACATTTAAGTGAGGGTTGCTGTTGGCCTCTAATGGGTAGAGGCCAAGGCTGTGGCTAAACATTTTAAAAAAGAAAGTGGGAGGGCTTACACTACTGGATTTCAAAAATTACTATATAATAAATGACAGTAATAAAAATAGCTTAGCAGTATTATAAGGACAGGTAGTAGAACAGAAATGAGTCCAGAAACCCTAACGTTTATGTTACTTGATTTTAAAAAAAATTGATTTTTCACACGGCGGTGGGAGCTCCTCCAGCTCCCCAGACGCCCCGCGCCAGCGCTCTCTATGGCAACGGCCCCCACTTCCGGGAGAGGTACGGCGCGCGGCGAGGGCCCTTCCGGCCGCCGGCGGCTGCTGACGCGGGCGGCGCCGGGCTCTGGCCGGGGCGGGCGGCGGCCATGGACTACTCCAGGTTCCTGGCCGAGGACTTCGACGTGAAGGAGTGGATCAACGCGGCTTTCAGGGCCGGCCCCAAGGAGGCGGCGGCGGGGAAGGCGGACGGGCACGCGGCCACGCTGGTGATGAAGCTGCAGCTGTTCATCCAGGAGGTGAACCACGCCGTGGAGGGTGAGCGCGCCGAGCGGCGGCGGCCGGGCTTCCCGGGGCGAGGGCAGGTGGGCTCTGTCCTCCCGCGGGCCCCCGGGCGGTGCTGTGGTTTCCTTACAAAACGTAAGCTAAAATAATTAACTTTAAGGATATCTCTACAAAACCCTAACATGCAAATTGACCAAACAGCGGAACCACCTGCGGAATGGGGGGGGGGGGGGGGATGAAGGAGGGGGGCGGTGCCAGGCCAGCCAGCCCAGGCGGTGGCCCCACTGATCAGCCTTGATTGCCGGCCAGGCCTAGGGGTCCCACCCTATACATTGGAACAGTGGCTTAGGTTTAAAAATTAAAACCTGGCAAGGCTACTCTAACACTGACAAAACAGGATGGTGTAGCGATGACAGGCATGAACTCTGGCTTGCACATTTTGTGGTTAGCCCTGATTCTGACACTTACAGCTGTGCGACAAAGCCAATTACTTACCTTCTCTCTGCTTCAGTTTTTCCACCCATAAGATGGGGGGAAATGGTACTACTGCCTCAGAAGGTCATGTTATGTACCACTTTCTATCAGGGCAAAAAACTGTAACTGCCCATACAATAGCAAGATGCCTTTCACTTGTATGAAAAGTATGGTCACTGGTGCATGCAGCATCCTGTATCTCGAGAGGGATGTCCAACTGCCAGTTTAGACCTGTCATCCTCCCCCCAGCCCAGGGGTCCGGATTTTGAGGGCACAGGCCAGGCTGAGGGACT